TTTCTTTTCAGCATGAAATAAACCTTTCTTTGTTCCATTGGGAAAACAGGCCAACTGTCAAACAGTAGACACTTCAGGCTGGAATCAAACCTAGGACCAAAGAGGTATGACACAGCAAAACTCAATGTCATAGCTCTCCTTCGGTCCTTGGGAGCTCCATTTTCATAATTTTTCTACCATTTCATAGTCTTTAATGCTGCAGATGGCAGACTGACAAAGTGCTTCACCATCATAAAGCAAAACAGATCTATTTACAGATACTGTACTATACGGGGTCATATTTTTTTATATAGTAACTTCTAAACCAAGGGGTCCGTCATACCTAGGCCACATACCAGCTTTGTCTTTACAGCCAGTCAAGATGCCTGAGCATTTAGTTAAATTTGTAACTAATTTTTTTTTAGCATAGCCGTATTTTTTAAGTGTTTATCAGTGACTTCCTAGCCACTAGGTTCCATGTTCGAGCTTCAAACTTCAGAACATAGGAAGGGTTAGAAAAGAAATAATGCCATTTGGGCCATCTAGTTCATTTGATTGCTTATTATAGCAAGTTCATCCATCCATCCATTTTCCAACTGCTTCATCCAATTCATAGGTGCATTCTATCCAGGTGAGCAAGGCTGGAAACACCCTGGATGGGATACCAGTCGATCATTATAGCAGAACACAGACACAAACCCACACAAGGGCCAGTTTTCTCAGAATCCAGTTAACCTACCAGTATGTCTTTGGACTCTGGGAGGAAACAGGAGCACTAGGGAAAAGCTAAAGGGAGAACATACAAACTCCATGCAGATAGCACCCCAGGTCCACGATCGAACCCTGGATCCCACTGCCGCGAAGCAGCAATGCTAACCACTCCAGCTAATTCATTTGTAATACATCTTTTTTGCAATAATAAACAATTGTATCCAGATGGTTTTTGAAAGGAGCCAGAGTATTTTCAAAACCCTTTGTGTTATAGCCACTTCCTAGTGTCAGTTTTAAATGCACTTGATTGAGGTTTTCACTCTGGTACACTGGATAGTGTTTCTGCACAGGTTCTGAAGTCCATTAGGATGACCGTGCCAGTGCCTTTGAGGATTTTGAAAACTTTGATCAATTCCAACCTTTCGTCTTTGTCTCGTGCAAAATACATAATAAATGTGTTTCACATCTGAAGACATTCTTTAAAGAATGTGAAGCTAATAAGGGTAGAAGTTGGAGATATTTCAATTAGAGTTCTTGATTTCCTGATTAACTGTAATTACACCCAGAAAGGCTTGTTTACTTTGTAAATGAATCCAGGTCACCTGCTTTCATGTGCTGTTTTCCATCCTGAAATATTAGCGTTGACTATGAGTTAGACTTCAGAAAGTGTCTATTATATACTGTACATTGATTTTAATAATCATTTATGAAGCATTACAATAAAAATATTTCTACAGTAATTCATTATTCACATTCACCTTAAATTTGCCTGAATTTATGCATTATAAGAATTCTCAATGCAATACTAACACTTTTGTAAACATTAGTATTTTATACTCGAAAGCATTATGTATTAAACTGCATGTTCTGGGGATTCAGATATAGTACAGTGAAGTGTAGAAAAATCCATCCTTGTATTGCTTTTGTTCCACCTTCTTTGTGAAATAATTTAAATATTCTCTGATCCAATTCTGCTTGGAAATGCCACCAAAAAGAAATCAAAATTTTTCATTTAGGTGAAAAAATAAAGTTACTCTTTTTTATTATTTCATCTGGTGATGTCTTGGTTATCTTTATTTGATGTAGAACTACCTCTAATTTCTTTATTTGTGAACAGCCATGTTTTATGTTTGCTGACACATCCAGGTTGTGTGTACATGCGCGTACAAACTGTAGGAGAGAAATGTTATGAACATCCTTGTGGCGTTTAGAAGACTCCCCCTCTTTCACTTTCACTCAAACAGCTATGAACATCAAGGTACTCCAGTATTATTCAAACATACATCCATAACAGCCACAACAAATACAGAAGAAAGATGATAATGGGGATGATATCGGGACAAATACAATAAACGAGTTCTCAATTTCATGGAATGAACAATTTAGTATAGTCAGTTAACCTTCTGGCAGGTGTCTCTGATAGGTGAGAAGAAACTAGAATGTCTGGTAAAAAACCTGGGAACAGGGGTTAAATAAGCAAAAATGTCCCATCCTACAATTAAACCCAGTGACACTGCTACACTTTTTTTATGAATCAGTGGTGGCAGTGGCCATCTTCTAAGCTGTTGTGTGCCGGGGCAGCAGCATCATGACAAGAGGTGCAAATAGGCTCAATAAACTTACAAGAAGTTTGGCTCTGTGTTGGGGCTAA